AGGACAGCATGGGAGGAACAGAACGCCGATGTGGCAGGGATGCACCTCCAGAGGGGCTTCTACCCAGCTGACAGAAAATACATCAGGATTTTGGAGAAATTAAGAGGAAAAAGTGTCCAGCAGGGGACAGTGCAGTCATGGCTATGGTGTGTGCCATGGTGCTGAGCCACGAAGGGCAGCTCTGCATCGCAGAGCTCCTGTGGGATGGAGCAGGTACCCCCCACCCAGGCCACTACTGCTCCCCATTGGCCCTGCAGAGAGAACTCCAGTGAAACTCTTGAGAACAAAGAGAGCCTCTTTTTGTAGAAAATCACCAGCACCAAGCTTTCCTGCATGGCAAAGAGTGTACTGGGGAGAACAGCATTTTGACCCTTCAGGCTAAACATTTCTTTACCAAGTGCTTTAGTCCACAAAACTTGAACTTGCCAGTGATGCTGTGAAAAACCCTGCCTCCCTGAGCTGACCTGGCAGCCTGGCCACAGAGCAGGTGGAGATATCAGTGGTGTTGAAATACCTCTGGTTTCCCCAGATACTGAGAGAAATGAGTTTTCAAATTTGGAAAGCCACCCAGAGGGAGATGGAATAAAAAGTACAGGGTGTTTGCCCCTCTTTACCCACAGTGTCTCTGCACATACATTCTTCACCCTTGATTTCTTCTTGTAAAATCATTGTGTCGCTGCCAGTTGAGAAAGCAGCACACTGTACTTAGCCCTTCCCAGGAAAAGTCTCTCTGGTTACAAGGGATGCAATGTCTTTTCTGTTTTAGCTTGGAGAAACAAGAGATGTTTTCCATCATGTATGGACCAGAATGAAAGTCTTTTCAGCAGCTTCCTCAGCATTTTTTATTCCTGAGCTATCTTCAATACCAGTGTGAACAGAGGTTGAAGATGGAGAGCAGAGATATGGTTGATGTGGTAGTTGTCTTTCAGCTGGTATTGGTTTCATATTTTCAACTGTCTATGTTGCACTACAAGTGCACACCATGATTATGAGTAGCACTCTTATGTCGGCTTATCGCTCACATCAGAATTCAGCAGAAAGCCTTTTCTGTCTCCTGGGGTCACCTGCTGAGGATCTCAGTGAGTCAGCTTGGCTTGGTTTCTCTTTAATTGAAGTCTCCAGATAAAACCTGTGTGGATAAAATTTGGCAAACCTCATTTCTTTTTTAGGGTAACAGCCTGCTCTGTGCTTGGTTCCACTTAAATTCTGGGCAGCACAGGAGGAAGAGGTTGATGACTACCTTCAGGAAAACTCTTTTGCTAGGAGGTTCTTTCTACCTGGAGGTAAACAATGCCTGGGGAAAGCCTCTCCTGCTGTTATGTATGGGAAGTCCTGACCCCCCTTCTCAAGGATTTTGCCTGCAAAGAACTACATCAGAGGTACTGTGCTGAGTATTGGTGGCCCAGGAGTGGGTGCCCACCAGGGTGAGGGTGGCCATGTCTGTCTGGGTTCTGCCCATGTTTTATGGGTCAGCAGCAAACCAGCTTGGCATGTGCAGGTCCCAGTGGGGAATCTTCTGCTGGTCTATCTGTGCCTTCTTTGTAAGGCTAAGGGAGGTGGGGATGGAGGGACACAGCCCATCATCATCCCCATGAGGACATGTGAGACAAATTCAGATTTGGATATCCTCTAAACAACAGCACATCTGCAGACAGGGCAGTGCTGCTCTGATAGTATCAGACTATCGCTGACATCAAGGAAGCTTTCATTCAACTTTTTGAATCTCATTGTTCTCACACAATGAGAACATTTCCTTAGTACCATCTACCAGAAATTATCTTTCTGCAAGTTAAAAATTAACAATTTTGGCAGTCAAATGATCCTACTTTCAGAGTGTGGGGAGAAACCAGCCTTTTGATATTGTCCTGAAAAGAGTGCCGAGTGCTTTACATCTGTTTTTAAAGAATGGGTAGGATGGGTCTACTGGTACTTGTCAGAGAAAAAGGTGAGTTTTGAAAATCCACTGCTCTGGCACTTTATAATTCCCTACCCTTTAAACTTTATTTCCAGCAGGGTATCTTTGCTGTCCCTGGCTAACACCTATCCAGGAGTCAGTTCTCTGATTATTTCCACAGGTCCCTGGCTGACATCACTTGCATAGTTTGGCTGATGTTGGAGGCCCATGGTTTGACATTAATTACATTGCTGTGTACCTGTTGGGGATGTTACATTTGCTAGATAAAGCATAACACAGTAAAAACCACAAAATGTAATTGGCAGAAATACCAGAACTGAAGTTATATGAAGATGTTGGCCTTGCAACTTGCTAACCAATCCACAAGCAACAGCTCAGGCAACCTGGAAGATACTCTCCACCCCCAAAATCCCACCAAGGTCAGCCTGCCTGAAGACAGCACAGCTCTGCCTTTGGGGAGAAGGTATTTTAATCTCCCTTGACATTTGAGGCAGGGGCAGTACCTGGGGGTGTTTCCAGGACCACATTCCTTGTGGTATTGTCCTTGCTATTGGTACAGCAGCCACCTGGACGTGGTGTCTGTTTCTCACAACACATCCCACTGCACAGCCTCCTGCCTGGTTCCAGCCCAGAGGGAACTTCCCTTTGTGCCCCAGTGGTGCCTGGCAATGTGCTTTGCAGCATCCCAGTTGTGCTGCACTCACAGTGTAACCCTGAGCAGGATGCTCAGGTCAGGGGCCAAGAAGGGCCCTTGAGTAATGAACATCCCAATATTTTAAACCCTCAGACTCCCCTGGTTCTGGGCTGTAGAGAGACATTATGCTTAAAATCTTGTTGACAGACAAAGAGGGGGCACAGTGTATGGGTAGGGCTGAGAATTTATTGTGAGTGCAATGGCATTCTCAAGGCTCCTATTGCTATCAGTTTAAATCTGCTAAATTTTTTCAACACACATAGTTTCTATCCATTTTCCTGGCATTATGCTCCCTCTTTCCCTTCTCCTTTGGGTCCTAAGGCTGATGGTTGTGGTGAAGTGATGTGTCACAGTGAGCTGTCAGCACCTCCAGTTCTTTGCTGGGATGAGTGCAATGTTTACCCTGATTTTTCTTCTGTCTTCTTCTAGGATTTGCTTTGGATTGCTTTTCTATGTTTTCCAACATGCTTCTATACCTTCTTTCTTCACTGGTCTATACACAACCTACAATAGGCAGTGCCCCTTACGTATGTTAGGTACTAATTTTGTTCTCTCTGTTACCACTAAACCCAGTTTTCCCAGCTCCAGATCTGCATTTTTTTTAACGGACCATCAGTGAGTTCTGTAGAGCTGTGGGGCTTCCCAGTGCCAGCCTGCGCCCCATCTTCTACCATCCTATACCTGTACTCCTCTGTGATGCTTCCTGCATCCCCACAACTCAAGGCCCCTGCTATTGTACCAAACTTGTATTTCTACACACTGTACTGTGTTTGAGTGAAAAATGTCTCATTCTGCATAGAATGAGGGGAACTAAGGGGGTGACAGCTTTGACATGCTGTCTTGGCACCTCAGGCATTTCTGTCTCTGTGCAAATCCTGTCCCCTGTAAGTATTTCTGTCCCTCTGAGTGGCTGTATCCTACTTCACAATTTCACAAGAAACCAGCAGGACCCAAGCACAGCACATCAGCACATACTTTCTCAACTCAACCCAAAGCTCAGCCCAGGAAGCCAACACGTTCATGTAAGCATGAGCATTAGAGAAGAGGAAACACACAGTTAAATCCAAACAGGCTCAGCTTGAAGAAAACATCAGTTTTCAATGCAACTATGAATTAAGGTAAGAGAAAATTATATATTCCCTATAATTTGGCAGAGCAAGATTAGATGAAGTGGTATCTCATGAATTTAAGGAAATTCTTCATTGCTTAGTGCTTGGAACCTAAATGATGTTTAATTTGGGTAAAGATGATGTGGGTACTGTTTACAAATTGTGAAAGTAAAAAGGGAAGCTCTTCTGTTAACGAAGTGAGCCAGAACAGATAAATTTTACTTGGTCACTAATTATTTGTGGCATCTTGTGGTAAGAGGAATATTCATCCTGGACAGCAATCCTCAAGGTCAGTAAATGCTGATATATGACTAGTTTGCAACATGAACCTAGAAGAACAGACCAAGAAGATACAGCCCTCCTACTTCATTAGAAGTTTTTTGTTTGATATCCGCAGAGATTTCACAACTCACCAGCATTGCTTGCTTCTAGTTTTAGTCAGTGAACCAATATCCAAATCATTACTGAGTAAAAGACAGCCCAAAGCAGAAAATCTGGTAGAGCCAATGGAAGCTGTCTGATACAGACAGACCAGCAAGAGAGTAATGGAAATTAAAGATGTTTGAAGACCCTTACCTTTCTGTAGAACATACTTGATTTTTCTGTGACTCAGCTTTCCACAGGAAAGATGTTACATGAAGATCTCGGTTTGGGTGAGACATTTGGGTATTACAGTGGTGGCAACCTGCTAAGCACTTGTGTGACATAAACACAGATCCACAACAGTGGCTCACAAAATCTGGTCGGTTGGGGTGAGCCCTGTGTGCAGGCAGTGCAGCCAGAGGCAGGGAGCTGGATGACAGGATAAAAGAAGGCAACTGCAATGAATCAAAAGAGTTTGGGCAGTGCAGAAAAAGTCAAAAAGGGAGAAGAAAAGGCTAAAATTTGACAAAAGACAACATATAATAAATTGAGAGTAAATCCCATAGAAAGCTTGATATTCCCAGGAAGGAGCTGGCAGGACTTAAATCTCATCCATACACAATCAAGGAAGGTTAATGTTGTCTGCTCTCTGAAGTGATGGACAAGATGATTTAAAAGATCTCCCACTGCTAGAGATTTTTCCCTGATTTTTCAGGGATGCTGAGACAATGTCAAATTATTATTTACAGAAAGGGTGTGGAGGCAGGAAGCAAACAGATGCCACAATACAGTGAGAGGACAGAGCCAACAGTAACCATAAAAAAGTACAAGCAGTGTTCATAGTGATCAGCTACAAATAATTGTCTGGTTTTGCTGTCCCTTCAGCAGAAAATACAAAAGAAATTTGAACGCTGCTTCAGAAAAGAAGGCCTGGGAAAAAGAAATACTGAGGGAGAGCAGGTAAGAGAAAACACTGGCAAAATGGTCAGTTATACATTCTAAAAAATAGATACAGAGTGCCTGAGCAACCATGCAAGCAGAAAGGGCAATTAGGGGAGATAACAGGCTAGATAAAACACCTGTGAAATAAATTTTCCAAGAAAACCTGATCCTGGCAGTCACCATCCAGTCACCATTGTCAGATGACAACCCCAAACACCCAGTTCCCTGGGGGTAGCTCTTGGAAGGGCACTTGCTCCCTCAGCTCTGCCACTGCTTCCCCAGCAGCTGAGTTAAAGTGCTCCCCAGCCTCTGTGAGGATCAAAATAAATACTGCTCTACAACAATACTCACCATTTACCTAATTTCCTATCCTCTGTCTGATCTCTGGGAGCAGGGCACTGCTGGAAAACCATCTCAGGCTGCAGAAGCTCTGCAGCGGTCTCTTGCTCTGGTCATAGGATCAAGACCACCCTGAGAGACATGGATGTAAATTTCAGAACCATTTCAGTGATTTTTGAACTTCAGTTTTAACGTGCAGGGGAGAGTTTGAGTCATACTGTCAGGTCATCTTTCCTAAATGCATGAAGTAATTTCTGAAACAGCCTTATGTGTTCAATAGACTTGGTCATGCCCTGAAACATGAACCTATTCCCTGCCCCGTAAAATGTGCAGGCACTTTATGGTTCCTGCATGTCCACCCTGTCAGCCTCAGAGGGGCTTTGTGCTCCCCAGTGCTGAGGGAAGGAGTTGAAACCACTAAAAGCTTCAGCTTTTGCTATAAATACACCAGCAACCACGAGGGTGAGCTGCCAGGGGTTTGGCAGGTCTTTCCTTGGCCCCAGCAAACCACACACTGCTGTGGTGCAGCTGTCCCTTCCAACTGGCTCACAGCAACCCTCCCTTCCTGGAGGGGCAACAAAACCAGCAAATGGAGGGATGTGCCCAGGACATCTGGGTTCAGTCCTCTGTGCCTGCTGTGCTGTGGTGGTAGCACAAACAGCCTGAGTGAGGCCACCAGCCTGGCCAGTGCACTGAAGGAGCAAGGGCAAGAGCTCGTAAAAAATAATACCTTGGTTGCTGCTCTGAAAGACAGGTGATGAAAGCCTTGGCACTGGCAGAAACATCCAGCAGAAAGTCCATGTTTTTGTGTTTTCTTTATAAATCATGAATACACCTAATTTTGATGTGATGTGTTTTGATCTGTGATTGGTACTTGCTGTTACCTCCAGGTGTGCATGGAACAGCATTGAGAAATCACTTTCCAAAGTTATTATAATGCCCTAGGCAAAGGTGAGAGAGACTCTAGGGATTTTGGACTCTACATTATCTCCTCTTGCCTTCTATGATCAAAGTCTGATCTTTTCAAACATATTTTTTCACCAAAACACATTGGTTTAAGTTTGTAGGTTTGCATGCTTCTCATCTTCAGCTAGTGGTGTCTGCTTCTAATTTAGTTTGTGATATTGGTGTAAAAACTGTAGAATTGGATCAGGGAAGTGGCATTTTTTTTTTTTTTTCATATCTTTGACCTAAATACCGTTTTAAAGGGATCCAAGGTCTCTGCAATATTCAATCATATTCTTATCAGCAGTGGTTTTATCGGCTTCTATTTCTGAGTCATTTGCTTAAGACACTTTAAGTGGCCTAATTCTTTGAAAGCTTCAGCATCATGCTTCTGCACCTTCAAATTCACCCTCAGTTGGAAAATTCAAGAACAAAGCATCACATTGTTTTAAAAAAACTTACCCTCAAATTACTGGGGGAAGTTTAATTGCCCAAATTGAAAAGCTTGCAGAATTCTGATAGGCCGAAACAGTTGATCCAGTCCAGTTGATCTGAGAATAAATGACAGAAAAAAGACAAAAGAAAGGAATTTCCTCACGATAAAGTCATTGAGGAGGAGCTGGAGGGGCAGCGAGCATATGGCATTACTCCACACACTCCACACTTCCTAGAAGCTAGGGAGGAATTAAAAAAAAACTGGTTAGGTAGGAAAACACACAGGTTTCAACAGAGTGGCTATTTGATAACAGGATCTCCAGACTGTGCTGCTTTCTTTCCACAACCATCATGACAGCCTCACTGCTAACCCAACACCAGCAGCTGCTCCATGGTTTTCACAGGATCCTGCTTTCTCCCAAGGGTCACATCCCAGGATTTGAGCTAACTAGTGCTGGGCAAAGGACAGTTTTGCTTTTTTGGTCATTTAATACCAAAAGAGGGTCATGGTTGTTCAGAGAATTGTGCCCCAACCTGGTCTGCCTCCCTGCCTATCAAGGGCTATAGGGTATAACCCAGCACCCTCCTGCTGAGCTTCTCCACAATGTCTGGCTTAAATCCATTTCCTAGATTGATACCTCCTCTTGAAGTGAAGACCCTCAGACACACAAAAATGTCCTTTTCATGCCTGAAGTCTGTTCCAGTCTTTATCCTTTCACTGTTGAAAACGTTCATCATATTCCTGTCTTGCATGTTTCTGGTTTGAATTTCCCTGTATCACTTTGACAGATAGCTAATCCCAGTCAAATAATTAGCAAGATTATTAACACAAACAAAAGTGAAATCAGGTGTTACCAAATTATGCCTGCAGCCCCTTTATCAAGCTCTGCAATGGTAAAGTCATGCCTCCTTTGTTCCTTCCCATCTGGAAGTTCTTTTAGCACCCAATGGTTGCATCATCTTTTCTTGCAGTTAGGTTTCCTTCAGATATGCCCCTGCTGTTGAGACATGGCCCCTGTTGTTTAACTCCCAAGCACGTCACTTTGGTTACATCTGGCTGCATTAGGGCCAATGTGAATCATCTGGGAAGTGCCAGATTACTCAGACTGTCTGAATCACTCTCCAGGCCTGTAACCCTTTTATCACGTGCCCCTGCCAGCTCTCATTGCCAGTGTGCTTTCAGAGCAATGATGAAAACACCAAAGTTTTTTGCTTTCAACTCGTCATTTCCACAGACATTTTACAAGCAAAATTTCTAGTTCAGTAAAGCTTCTCCCATGGATGTTTGTCTTTTGAGATCTGATGTCTAACCAGTCAAAATCATATTGCAATGCTTTATTTGTCTTGATTTGGGCTGGAGACATGTGTTAACCAAATAAGCAAGCAGTGCAAATCAGAGCTCCAACTCACCCAAAAGCCTCCTTTTTAAATCTTGCAATCCCATCAGATGCCCAAACTAAAACTCCTCTTCTATAAAGCCACACAGATTTGCCTTAGATGCACTCTGCCCCTTAACAATTTAAATTAATTTTGCCTGATTTAAAGGTCAGGTTAGATCAGCCCTTTCACTTTGCTTCCCACTTTCAGAGATCTGCACGTAGAGGTGGAATAGTGAGAACATCTCCCCACTTCAGGACTGAATGAAAGGCTGAAATTTAAGATTTGAAGTAACTGCACTTAGTGGGATGGGCTTGCTTTTGACCCTGGCTATTTAACATGATCCCAAGCAGCTCCAGAGGCCATTGCCTATGAATGGAATCACCCTGCTCTGAAAAATAAACTAGAGTAAATTACAGGAACTAGCAGAGCATAGGACTAGCAACTGGGCTCCATTTCTGGTTAGGATATTAAGTAAGTTTTGGGTGGTGTATGATCTAAATCGTGGGTAGAGGTGTCTGTAGCATTCTAATGATTCTGTGGTAGCTGCTTGGTCAGGCTGGTTAAGTTTTGCCTAGAGTGCTACCTCCTCCTAGTTCTCAACCAGTTCTGGTTATTTTCCTTTAGTCTCGTTCCTTTGTGTGTTAGAAGTGCCACCTTAGCTGCAACATTTCACCTGGAGGTGCCTGAGGTCATCCCTATGTTCTTGTTGAGAATCACCAGCTAGTAAGAAGCAGGTGGGTGTAGTTGCAAATGCAAAAAAGCAAGAGCATGTGTATTTGGGTGGGGTGATGGCAGCTCAGATCTAAGGGTGAGAAAGGGATATACATACGCCTGTAGGGTTTTGCAGGCGTTCTCACCAAGCCTACAGCTTCCCAGGGCCAGCTGATTCATCAGACCGTTCAGTGTGCACTGAAAACATGTTTTGCCAGCATGAGAAAAGCATGTAAGCATCACTCAGAAATGCTGACTAGAGTGAGAAAGTCTTTCTGAGGCTGAAGTACTTTTATTGGGATATTGTGCAAATCTGAAGCGTGACCCTCTGGCAGAGGTCTGGTTTTGGTCATTTTTTTCATTTCTTTTAATTTAGTGCTAGGAGCAGCATGATAGGGAGGCAAATTACTTGCAGATCTCCCTCCTTTTGGCAGTAAAGCCTGTAATATGGCACTTGGCTGAAGTGCCAGGGATGACACCTGGAAAGATCAGATAAATAAAGAGGATTTGCTCTTGTGTCACCCAGCCTGATGCCAGTGTTGGTTGAAGATTGAAATGCAGCTTCTGTTCCTTTGAGGAGTTTGCAGACCTCTCACAATTTCACTTCCCTGTGTATTATGTGGGGTGCACATGGAGGTTGGGAATAGCTGGGTTGAGAAACAGGGGTCTTGGTCTTGCAGACTACGGTCCTTGAGATAGCTATAAATGTGATTAAGAGCAGAAGTGTTTGTGAAGAGTAGGGTGTAAAATCGATGGGGAAATCCAGAGAGAGGGAAAAGTGGTCGAGCAGTTCCATGAGAAGCAGAAGTGAATCTACTATTTCTTGTAGTCAGCAAGGGAAAATATCTGGTGGAGAAACCTCAAAGACTTGCAGTCCTCTTGTGTCCTCTGCACTCTTCAATTCACTCTGTCCCTTAGGGTAAACATTTATTGCAAGCATAAAAGAGAAAATTGGGTTGAAGCTGATGGTGAGAAACCTGTAGCATGTGCTGCAGCAGACTTTGAGATGCAGACAGAGAATACCTGACAGGAAAGTATGGAGGAGGGTCAGATCTAAGTTTCACTCTTTAAGGTGCAATATAATTTCAACACATTATCCCTATCTGGCATGGGCTGGGTTTTTGGAGCCCTTTGAAATTTGCAGCCCACCTGAGTATCATCTGAGTATCATCAGTTTAAACTGAGCAAAGTGGTATCAGAGGAGCTAAAAATTCAAACAGTATTTGCAGCATTGCCTGTGCAGGATGAGTGGTGGTGGAAGGATATGAGTGACTGCTGATATATGAAACACAGTGGCTAGACAGTGAACAAGCCACAGACTGCCAGCAGATTCAAACATCAATGGTAAGTGCATTCCTTCCTTGCCCCTGGAAATGCAATACAGAATCTTACTCTTCTTCTTGTTATACCACAGACCCCACAAGCACCCATCTAAGGGTAAAGGAAATAATTTGCTACTGTAGAAATAAATGATCCTCATCAGTGACCTATAGGAGATTACTTGACTGAAAAGGTATTTCTGGAAATATCCCAGCACAAGCAAGTACTTCACTAAGGCCAGGAGTTTCTCCTGCACTTCTGTGTAAATGTTCTCCAGTGAAGAAGGCAGCCGTTCCTACACCCAGGTTTCTCTCCAGGCAATGCCAGTTCAGAAGTCTGTGCAGAAGTCTGCCAGACCTGAGGGCTAATCCCTGGTGGGAGCTGCATTTCCTTATATGTGTGACATCCTGTGTCCAACAGAGCACAGTGACTTCTACGGACATATGGAAACTCTCCAGACGGACAAGCTGCCTTTCTAGATATGAATTAAGGGAAGAAGCATGTTAAAAACCAGCATAGCTAGAGGTTCTTTGAGAGGAGAGTAAAGCAATGTGCATTTTCTCTCTCTCCAGAACAGGGATTTCACACAGAACAGACAGTCAAGGCAAGCACCACAAAACAGCCCTCTCTGGATGACGGCACAATTAGCAAAGGTGTTAAGGGGGATACGAGCAAGCTTCCATCAGTTTTTTCTGATGTTTTTTTCTGATCAGTTTTTTCTTTGTCTGATGAGACTTTTGGCTGTCACACCAGGAATTACGTGTCTGAAACAGGAGCTGACATGGCAGAGAAGAAGCTGGGACACTTTGCAGAAACAGCATGTTCTATGTCTGGCATTGCCACAGAGTCACAAGGATAGGACAGGACTTCTGGAGGTCTCTTGTCGAAACCCATGAACAGAGCAGGGCCAGCTGAATTTCAAGTATCTCGAGGGATTAGATCCCACAACCTCCCAGGAGCCCTGTCCTGGTGTTTGACCACCATCATGACAAAAATTTGTTTTCAATACATTAAGCAGTGATTTCCCATTGCTATTGCTATATATTCTCCCAAGGAAAGCTGTCTGCTTCACCTTTACACCTTCTCCCAAAATCCCTCTTGAGTCATCTCTTGTTGAGGTTGACCAAACCCAGTGTCTTCTCATAGGCCAGGTGCTCCTGCCCCAGTCAGTCACTTGTGCAGCCCTCAGCTACTGCTGCATCAGTGAAGAACCAGCTGAGCCCACAGAGAAAGGAGGAGGCTCCGGCGCTGCACAGATGGGTGCAGTAACAGCTCAGTGGCAAAGGAGCTGGGGGGACTGACAGAGTGACATACATTCAGGACAGGAGACTTGGTGTATCCTGATGCTTTTGCTGCATACATTTAGTCTCAGAAAGAAAGAAAGAAATCGGGATGGGACAGCAGAAAATGATAGGTTATTGAGATTATATGTCTCCTGCTCACATCTGTGTCACTCAACAGGGCAGATAAAGAGATGGCAATTCTTTATTTACCTCACCAGTAGAAAGCATCTTGTTTGCAATTGCCATCAGCTTCTGCCCCAGCACCTAAGCTTTTCCTGTTTGTACCCTTAACTCTGCTGGTGTCAGATACCTCCTTTCCAGAGGCTGGAGAATTGAACTGGCCTGACAGGCAGGGGAGGAACAGACTGAAGGCAGACTTAGCTCCCAGTTCAAGTGGACTGATACTGCAAGAGCCACTCTGCCCATGGGTGTGTCTGCCTGCTGCAAACAGCTTTCCCCATACTGTGCCCATGCCCCAGAGCTACCAGTGCTGAGGCAGCCTTTTCTAGCCCACTTTTCCTGTGCAAACCACAAAGATGTTTTCTAGAGCCTGCAGGCACTAATCATTAGGGTTTGAACATTCAGATTAAAAATATATTTTTAAAATTAAGAGCCTGCATTTCCGACTAGCACAAAAAAGTACCCTCTTTAAGATATTGCTACAAAATAATAGGCCAGAACTTCACAGCCTACACCAAAAAATGACGTTCTGGCAATGAGGCATTAGGAGAAAATGTTGGTATGGTCACAGTAGCTGCTCATGGGGAATATTGTTGTAGTTACTACCATGTCATAGAAAACTGTCTCACACCTGAGGACATCTTTATTTCATGTTTAATCTTGAATGGCTTATTTGAAACAGAAGGTATAAAAACTACTGCTGTTGGTGAAATGTGGGTCTGCAGGCTAGGATTCCAATCACTTGGCTGTAAGTGTCAGGAGTCAGAGTAGCTATACAACATCGGCACCTACTACTGAGCAATGTATCCATGCTCAACTTATATTTGGGAAAAGAAGTTTTCATCAGTGTGGTCAGCAGTCTGGAAAGCAGTCTGTCCTCTCTTAAAGCAAATTTGGCCTGACCTGCATTGGATGAGATGCACCCTCTTTGTTGACTGTACTGACTATATTTCCCTCTAACAGGAGGTGTAAACATCTCTATTAGAGACAGCCTATGGTCACTGAACCGAGTCCCTTCTGTAGAGGCAGAGGGATCCCTGTAAGAAGATGGTGACACTGTGGCCAAGAGGTAGCTATTAGTGGCAGTTTGGTTATCACTGACCTTTTCTCTCAGTCTTGGCTTTAACAGGCTGATTTGGCCATGTTATCATACTTGGGAGATGTTATCATCTCCCTGGGCTTCTGCACAGTGTATCACACTCACTTTCTTTCATCTCCTGCAGTGAGAGCAAGTAATGGATACTTACAAGCTCTTTACCCAGCCAGGAAGCAGACCAAATACAGCAACCTCTGCACTCCTATAGGATTTTTGATTCATTGCAAACTGAAATCTTTGCGTAGACTTGAACACCACATCCCAAAGTAGAGCAGATGAACTGACAGATGCTCTGGGTTTTTGGGTGTGCAGACCAGTGAGCCCAGAGGTCACACACCTGCACCCCATCCTCTCTTTGGATTCAGCCAAGGTGAATTCAGGGCTCCAGCCTCACAGCCAGAGCAGGAGCAGTCATGAGATGCTTTGTTGCTTGAGGAAAAGGGTCAATATATTTTCTTTTGATCATAGGATGATTTTTAGAAAAGCCTCATCAAAGATACACTTTCTGCCCGCAATGTCCCAGTGCAGATTTGCTCCCCTCTTATCAGCAAGCATCAGCTCAGGCCTGGCCAAACTGGGTGTCTTACCACCTTTCCAGCCCAGGGTTAGTGAGAGGTGGAGATGGGGCTTTTGGGGTGTTGACCAAATCTGCTCAACATCTATTTGTGAACTATCATTTCCTGCCAAGCACTGCCCACAGACTGACAGAGCGCCTGCACTGCTCGTGGTGCTGCCATGCACCACATGCACAGCTCAGCCAGATCTCAGCTTGCTGCTGCTCCTGCTGCACTTCAGTAAGTAGAGGCTTATGTGACAGCCCTTGAAATTCTCATTATTTTTTTTTCTTATCCTAAAGAGTTAATTTTCAGTGAAGTACATGTAACAGCAGGGTCTGGGCTTTTGTCATAACGTAAGTACCACCATCAGCTCCACAGTAACACAACCCTCACTAAAATAAATAGTGACAAAATCCTAAAACATGCTTGGTGCTATCCCTCAGTACTTTACCACAGCGCATATGAGATCACTCTAATGTTATTTTCTTTACTCTTTCCATTTTGCCTCTAGCCAGAAAATTCAGCATGACAGAAGCATACGCAGAAACCACAGCTGAATACGCTTATGATGAACATGCTTTCTCCTGCAACAAAACTGACATCCAAGAGTTTGGGAAAATATTTCTGCCTATATTTTACCTTGTGGTGTTTGCTCTTGGCCTCACAGGGAATCTAATGGTGGTTTTTGCCATTGTGAAAGGCAATAAAAAAAGCATCACCGACATCTATCTCCTGAACTTGGCTGTCTCTGACCTTCTCTTTGTGATCTCCCTCCCGTTCTGGGCATCCAACAGGGTCCGTGGGTGGACCCTTGGGACTATGACATGTACAGCTGTTTCCTCACTGTATTACATTGGTTTCTTTGGGGGCATGTTCTTTATCACTGTTATCAGCGTTGACAGGTACTTGGCCATTGTCCGGGCAACTTACTCTCTGAAATCCAGAACAGTAAGGCACGGCTTTCTTGTCACCTGCGGAGTGTGGGCAATAGCGGTTTTAGTGTCAGTGCCACATTTTGTGTTCTCCCAGCTCGTAGAAAATGACTGCATTCCTGTCTTCCCAGAGAAGCTGGAGAACATCTGGCCAGTGTTGTGCAATATGGAGCTGAACACCATCGGCTTTTTCATCCCAGTCTGTATCATATTCTATTGCTACTGTGGGATCATCAAAACCCTCCTGTCCTGCAAAAATCAGAAAAAGGCACGAGCCATAAAACTGATCTTGGTTGTGGTGGTGGTGTTTTTTCTGTTTTGGTCCCCCTACAATGTATTGATTTTTCTAGATACTTTAAATCACTATGAATTATTCACAAATTGCAACCAAATTAAGTCATTGGACTATGCAATGCACCTGACCGAAACCATTGCATTCAGTCACTGTTGTCTCAATCCTTTTATCTATGCCTTTGCTGGGGAAAGATTCAGGAAATACCTTTATCATGTCTGCTTGAAGTACTGTCCATTCCAGTGTTTCTGTGGGCCCTGCAGTCGCTACCAGGTCCCTCATTCAGTTAGTTATGCAGAAAGTGTGGGGAACAGCAACATAACCCTGAACACCAGCGACCAGGACGGCTCTGTCTTTGTCTAAAAGGGTCTCAGAAGGAGAAATGTATCAATATGTGTCTCCTGCAGGGATAGCAACCACTGAGGGGTTGCATTTACCCTCATGAAGAGCCTTAATGGCTGCACTGAATTACTGACATGCCTCTAGTTAAGAATTAAATATTATAAAACAGTAAAGATTTAAAAAACAAAAGCAATACAATATGTCAGTGTTGGACATGGAATGGAATCAAGAACAAGGAAGAGGGAAAGCAGAAACAAAAGGAGCACTCTGTGCCTAGAAAAGGAGCTGGAGAAGAATTTAAGGATAAGGGAGCCTTTTGAACAGTTCCACCACTGGAACTTGTGCATGTTTCAGTATATGTGCACGTGATACTAATGTAAATAGACCTAAACTCATTTTTTTAAGGGAAATCCCTTTAATGAATGGTGACTGAATTTTAGGAAAAATTTTACTATCTTTGATAGTAAAAGGGTGTATTTTTGATGCTGTATCTCCATAAGGAAGTGATTTTGTGGTTATTGATTGTAACAAATGTTTTAACTGTGTTTTCATATGTAATAAAATCCCACCATTTAAAAAAAAAAAGGAGTTATTTCTGAACATGTGTTTAGTGTCACCTATTCACTCCCTGTGTTTATAGCATGCAATAATCAGACCAAGGATCTCCAATCCATCTGGTAGGGTTAGAGATATACCAGGGAGTGCATCTCCCAATTTCCATGGGCTTGGCCTCAGCCAAATGCCAGAGCTCAGTGTAGCTCTTCACTCAGCAATCCCCAAGGACTCTGACCAGTGGACATCAGCACCCTCTGGAACAGTGGGAACTAGAGGTATGGGTTTGGATATCCCTGTGCTTGGTCCAAATACAGTCCAATCAAGCTGAGCGTGATAAGTCCCTGCCTCGCAGCCATGCTCTCCTTGCCACATGTTGTAAACACTGTGTCTACACTGTCACAGACAATGGCTTTGGGGACAAAATAACCACTTTCCCATGCTGCTTACTACAACCTTCCTCAAGCTTTAGGGCCTTTCCCACCACAGCTGATTTTCCCAGGGAAAACTGCAGCTGTACCCAGACTTAATGCATCCCAGAGGACACATTTCCCATGTGCACTCCACAGCCTCCAAACATCCTTTTTACTCATGCAGTAACAATGCACTGGGGATGCAAAATGTCCATCAGACAACTAAGTCCTTTACCTGGGCATCCCTGTCATCATCTGCTGCAAAAGCAAAGGAGAATTTGTTGGCACTGTGGACTAGAGTTAGGTGAGTGGAAAAAGGACGGTTGCCAATAATGAAGCTGAGATCACCTTACAAGGAAAAATCAAGGACCGATCTCACAAAACAAGTCCATGACAGTGGAACCCTGTTTCTGTACACTGATGGAACTGGTAATATGTCAAATCTGAGAAACACTCACCTCTGAACTAAGACAAAAAAAAGTTGTTTCAGACTGTCAGGGGGAGGAGTAGGGCCTTTCTTTGTGGACCTTAGTACCACCTTGTTTCCTAGAAAGTGTGGAGAGTGTGTGTCCATTGAGCAATTTGCCAATGGCAATAATTATACAAATATTCAATTTTTTGCTACTGAACACTCATCACAATCTACACTAAAAAAACCCCAACCAAACCACATTTTCATAAACTCTTTGTATTTGGTGGAAATATATTCTCTATGTTCAATTTTGTAATTTTCAGCTATAAGTGCACTTCCAGACTCCACACTTGCTGTCTAAGATTAAGTGTAGCATGAGTGCCACTTGAAATTAAATTATTTTTCGAAATGCAGTCTGCCTAATCAAGTACAACTTTGTTTATTCCTACTCCCAAGAAAGTGGTATTTTAAGAAATGGTATTTTTACAATGTTTTTTAAAGAAATGTCAAGATGTGCAGAAAGAAAGAGGAAGGCTCTGAGACTAAACAAGAAGTTATCTGCATGAAGTCAGCCTGAAGACGGTGGATTGCCAAACTGAGCAATGCAATCGCACTTGGTTTATTTAACTTCCCTTTGATTTTCCAGACAATGGTGAGTTACTGAGTGGGAAGAGTAAAATGCACCTTTAAATATGATCCATGTGCTGTGTTCAGAATGAAAGGTGGAAGTCCAGAGCTTGATGCCATCTCTCCAGGAAAGGAGACGTTTTTGCTGCTTTGACCCAGTGGTTCCCCAGCAATCCTACCCATCACCAGTGCAAAGCATCCCTCTCCTTCCAGATGCATCTCCCTCTGGCAAGGCAAACATGCTACCATGAGTCAGACTGCCTCGACAGCCCTGGGTCCTCTGCAAGCTGCAAAAAACCTTCACTTCCAAGTCAAGGGCCCCTCCCAAAAATCTGCAGTCCTGTCTTCTCTGCCACACAGTGCAATGGAATATTTCCAAGGACTGCCAGCATAACATTGTCAAGTTTTCCGCCATGTATTTGCAAGCTATTATGTTTGCCATTTATTTTTATGGTTTTATTGCTCAATATGTGAGTATTTGCATGAGATTAAAAACCTCAGGGCGTTTCTAGGCAACAAACCACTAGTTTATGCAGGTTCCTCCTTATAGGAGCAGCAATAAATCTTTGAAAAACCAAGTGAAAACCAAAATCACCATTTTCACTTTGTTTGTATTCACAGGAAGAGTAGTCTTTTAATTGTTCCTTAAAAAACTTCAGCCTCCATGGGACATACCTGTGCTCTGAGAGCATCAAGTAGCCAACTTAACCAGGGCTGGGCTCAGCTGCAAGCTGAGACAAGCATTGCTGCCCTTTGCTGCACTGCACCATTCAAGCCTGAAGGAAAGCCCATTGATGTCTCTAAGAACTGGATTTTCAATTAATTGTAGCCTTTATTTAAAGATGCAACTTCTCTTTCAAAACCTCTGCAGCAGGAAACTGCCTGGTTAGTTTACGACCTGCAAAGCTTTTCTGTGTACAGCACTAATGATACATTTATCCTTAGATTGTATCTACACATCCCTGAGGACCAGCAACATCCAGTTCCTACCCATTACCCATGAGAAAGTAAACCACTCTCTCAGTATGGCATAAAACTTTTTCATCTGCTATAAATTAAGGACAGACTCTTGCTTACTTAGCAAGTCACAATTTACACATGGAAATGCACACACACTTATTGTGTCTATCCATTGAATAGTATTTAGTTGTGCAAAAAGGAGGTGAGGAAATTTCTGGCTTTTGGGGACGGGTGTTGGCCTTTGGGGTTTTGAGGGGTGATGAGCTATCTTTGCATCATAATTCTCCATTATTATCAACTTTTTTTCCTGTTTGAGAATCACACTGACACTTACATAAATCTTCTCCCAGCTGGGTTAAGTTTGAGGAACTAGCAGAATCTGAATCCAAGTTTCCTTGGCAGGTTCATGACTATACTTCATGTTCTACTTAAAAACAGAATGAACAAGATGCATATTTATCTGAACTGCAGTGAGATACATGGACATGAATACTTTTTTAGGTGCCATTGTGAATGCATCTCATTCAAATTTTACAACACAGTTCCAAAACAATAGGATTTACTTATTTACTTATTTTTTTCTTCTTTTTTTTTTTTATTTTTAAATTTTTTTAGCCACTCTGGATTCTTGGGTTTTTTTAACAATAAACTTGTACAAAATTATTTGAAGTGCAGCCAATCAAAGCATCACATTGGCCTAGGAAATTGCTCAGGAATGAAAGGTGTAATTTTCAACACTGGCATCAGAAGGAGCCAGTCACTACCCACATATTTTCTTTGGATTCAGCATTTGGTGGAAGTGGATTTGAAGTCCTGGGCCAGGGTAGTCTGAAGTTTTAATGACATTCTTCATAAAGAAACTATTAATGAATTAATGAGTTATGGGTTAAGTTCTGTCATTTCCATTTTGTCACAGTAACCTTTGTGAGGTCCCTCTCTGAGATCCTGTGAGTCATACAAGGCCCTTGTCATAGCAGGACAAGGGAACAAGTCTGATCCATGCAAACCTCAAGCTTTGCTATCACTAAAAAAGAAATGAGAATTTTTCAAAGAAAATCCAAAGTTGCATTATCTCTACCCACTGTTGCTTTTTCTGGTCCCATCTGGTAATGTCTTTCCTCTGTAGTTATAGCCCAAGCATGGTGCACGTTTGCCAAAGGCCATTAACACACCACTTCTAAAATAGCCACCGAATGAAATATTTTCTGTATTAAGAAAGTCCTAGTCCTAGTCCTGCTCAAAGTTTTACTGTTTGCACTTCAGTTTCTTAACTCTGTAGGACACCTGAAACTCTAATGAAAATCTGTGTCATCCAGAGTTATTATTTTGAAATTCAAGTTCAGTAATCAAAGCAAAAATTGAGAACAATTTCTAACTACTAAAAATTGTTCTTACACTTAACCACATACACATAGTTTCTGTTGAAGTTAGCAATAATTCTGCTGCCACTTGTAAGCAGCACTTCCTAATTTACTTGGTAGCCACTGTAAGAGTTTGGTTTTCACCATACACACCCAAACATCAAGATCTGTGTTTTACAGGGCCAGTGTTTAAAAGGTTGTTTTCAATATGGAAAAAAAAATAATTAAAAAAATCCACCAACTGTTCCTGTCTGATTTTGCTTGTTACACTAATATGCAACACAAAAATGTTAATATATTGCATTTTTCATTCCTCTCCCTAAAGAAATACTGTGAAATAGCTCCCATTGGATGAGGAAAATGGTTTGCTTTTGAAGATCAGTTTGCATTTACCACATTTCTAGCTATGATATTTCAATCAGCAGGAAGGAGCATTTGAACTTTGTACCCCTGAAGACAGAGGTTAGTGAATGGGATAGAGAATGCAAGCAAGGACTCTGGCAGTGCTGTTTCACTATGCAGGGGATATAATCCACTTTCCAACTGCAGCTGCCACTGGAACAGTCTGTTTCCCACCCCACACAGATTTTAAGTCTGATAAATTGCACGCATTTATCACTGCATATCCAGCTGCAGCACAACAGTCCCACAACACATAGGTCCAATACGCCAGGATCATGCAGGCAACCGAGAAGCATTTCTCCCGTGAGGCGCTCACATTTAGCCCATAAATTTGCTACATTAAAATTATCTCCAGCATCACCGAGAGGCACAGAAATGCCAGCAGAGTTTGCAGAGGCCCTACACTTGCAGGGCACGTCGGAGGACACCGACAAAGCACCTGTGACAAGACGATTCCCCCTGGTGTCAGACACGAGCTACTGTTCCCTTGAGGAATCTCCTGTGCCCCGGACGGTTCCTTACAGGTAAGAGCAGCTTGAAACCCTGAGCTGCTGCTTCAATTATTTTTCCAACCTCCAAGCAGGTAGGAGCGAAGCAGAAGGAAATGGTAAATGTGAAACGCACCTGGAGCAGGTTGTTGAACCACCTTTTTCCACAGCCCTTTGCCACCCACTTTGCCCCAGGCAATTGCTGAGCAACATTGATCCCGGTTTGGCCATAGCTGGAGCACAAGGCAATGGGGAGCTTTTCCCACTGGAAAGGCCTCAGCCAGTAGAAATGACCTGTAAGCAGCCAGGGATGGGGAACAGGGTAAGCGTGCTCAGGA